AAACACAGACGCACTACACACATGTTTGACATAACCATGGACAAGTAATCAAGAAGTAACTAAGAATGAAGACGCTCGGAGTATCGCGACCGAAGAGAAAGCCATCTTGGAACTGGGTGCCCTGCAGCAGAGACAGAAGAAGCGCCCGCAGCGCCATCAATGCCTTCAGCGCAGCATATCTGCTTAGGCTCAGAATCTGAACTTTCGATACTTCTACGACAGAACCACACAAAAAGAACAATAGCAACGCCAGCAGCTGCACCACCAGCACCACGACCAACAACAACAGCAGCACTGCAGTAATAGCCACAACAACGACAACAACAACAAAAAAAAAGCACACAGCAACAAGACCAGCAGTTGCAGCAACAACGACAGCAACAGCAGCAAAAACAACAACAACAACAACAACAACAACAACAACAACAACAACAACAACAACAACAACAACAACAACAACAACAACAACAACAACAACAACAACAACAACAACAACAACAACAACAACAACAACAACAACAACAACAACAACAACAACAACAACAACAACAACAACAACAACAACAACAACAACAACAACAACAACAACAACAACAACAACAACAACAACAACAACAACAACAACAACAACAACAACAACAACAACAACAACAACAACAACAACAACAACAACAACAACAACAACAACAACAACAACAACAACAACAACAACAACAACAACAACAACAACAACAACAACAACAACAACAACAACAACAACAACAACAACAACAACAACAACAACAACAACAACAACAACAACAACAACAACAACAACAACAACAACAACAACAACAACAACAACAACAACAACAACAACAACAACAACAACAACAACAACAACAACAACAACAACAACAACAACAACAACTAACAGCAATAACAGCAAGAAGCAGCAGCAAAAACAACCAACAACAACAACAACAGCAACGGCAACGGCAACGGCAACGGCAACGGCAACGGCAACGGCAACGGCAACAGCAACAGCAACAGCAACAGCAACAGCAACAGCCACAGCAGCAGCAACCACATTGACAGCAACTGAAGATGCGAAAAGGCAGGCATGCTAATAGGAGTTGTCGGATGCGGGAGGTATAGTAGTCACGGGCCAGGGCTCCTTTACAGCGGCGTGGAGATGTTCTAATGGGCGCGCGCGGGTGTGTTTGTGTGTGTGTGTGTCTCTGTGTCTCTGTGTCTCTGTGTCTCTGTGTGTCTGTGTGTCTGTGTGTCTGTGTGTCTGTGTGTCTGTGTGTCTGTGTGTCTGTGTGTCTGTGTGTCTGTGTGTCTGTGTGTCTGTGTGTCTGTGTGTCTGTGTGTCTGTGTGTCTGTGTGTCTGTGTGTCTGTGTGTGTGTGTGTGTGTCTGTGTGTCTGTGTGTGTGTGTGTGTGTGTGTGTGTGTGTGTCTGTGTGTGTGTGTGTGTGTCTGTCTGTGTCTGTGTCTGTGTCTGTGTGTGTCTGTGTGTGTGGTGTCTGTGTCTGTGTGTGTGTGTGTGTCTGTGTCTGTGTCTGTGTCTGTGTCTGTGTCTGTGTCTGTGTGTGTGTGTGTGTGGTCTGTGTGTGGTGTGTGTGTCTGTGTGTGTCTGTGTGTGTGTGTGTGTGGTGTGTGTGTGTGTGTGTGTCTGTCGTGTGTGTGTCTGTGTCTGTGTGTGTCTGTGTTCTGTGTGTCTGTGTGTGTGTCTGTGTGTGTCTCTGTGTGTGTGTGTGTGTGTGTGTGTGTGTGTGTGTGTGTGTGTCTGTGTCTGTGTGTGTGTGTGTCTGTGTGTCTGTGTGTCTGTGTGTCTGTGTGTCTGTGTGTCTGTGTGTCTGTGTGTCTGTGTGTCTGTGTGTCTGTGTGTCTGTGTGTCTGTGTGTCTGTGTGTATGTGTGTGTCTGTGTGTCTGTGTGTGTGTCTGTGGTGTGTGTGTGTGTCTGTGTGTGTGTGTCTGTGTGTGTGTGTCTGTGTGTGTGTGTGTGTGTGTCTGTGAGTGTGTGTCTGTGTGTGTGTGTGTCTCTGTGTGTGTGTGTGTGTCTGTGTGTGTGTGTGTGTCTGTGTGTGTCTGTGTGTGTGTGTGTGTGTGTCTGTGTGTGTGTGTGTCTGTGTGTGTGTGTGTGTCTTTGTGTGTGTGTGTGTGTCTGTGTGTGTCTGCGTGTGTCTGTGTGTGTCTGTGTGTGTGTGTCTGTGTGTGTCTGTGTGTGTCTGTGTGTGTGTCTGTGTGTGTGTCTGTGCGTGTGTATCTGTATGTCTGTGTGTCTTTGTGTGTGTGTGTGTTTGTCTGTGTGTGTGTGTCTGCGTGTGTTTGTGTGTGTGTGTGTGTGTCTGTGTGTGTGTGGGTGCGGCTGTTCAGGGTTCGAGACTGTGCATCTCATGTTCTCATGTCTCGGTACGCTTTTCGTTCGCAAGCTCGGCAATCCGCGCGATGTCGACTGGTTCGCAGATAACAGGTGAGACGTCATATCTTGGTGGCGCAAGAGTGAGAGCTCCCACTTTAAAGACACGGAACACTTACGTTACACCTAAGACTCGTAAACACGGAACATCAAAACATGATACGCCTGGCAACATGGAAGCAAAGACACAGTTGTACTCAGATGCAACCAAAACAAGAAGTTGTCGTTCCGTACTGCTACGCTGTAGGGGCCACAAAGTTAAAAGCTCCATTGCGACGCTGCAGCAATGCAGGACATTGCCTTATGACAGTGGGCCCTCTGACGATGCCCCAAGATTCTGGACATGTGCAGAGCTGGCAAGCTGCGTAGATGCCGTTGTGGAAAATGCATCTGCCCTCGCGAAAAGCCATCTCTGAAAATTCCCAAAGCCCTTAATCGAGAAATCCACTTCAAGTTGCATGAAAGAAGGTGTAAGCATACTCCTTACTTGGAGGCATTTGGCCTAAATCCTGCCCTAAACCCCAAAGCCTTAACCGCGAACGCGAAACCCAAGTGGAGAGAAACCCGAAAGGCAAGAATCCTCATACCCAAAAACAACATTATAACATAGTCCCGTAAAGAATCGAAGCTCTATCGTCCTTATATACTCGTACTTTTAAACTCCATCTTACGAGTATCCCAAACCCAAATACAACCCCTACATTACAAGCCCTAGATATTACGCCCGAATAGCAGAATCTTGATAAAGAAACCCCCAACCCTAAACCCTATACCCGAATGGAAAATTCTTTAAGAAAGAGCCCCTTAAGATCATCCCTGGAATCGGATATCCTTTAACCAAGATCCCTAGCTACCCTTGGATCCCAAAGCGCAGTCGACAGCGCATCAGGCGCGGCCATTGTTCTTCGGGCCAGTTCGCCACAATGTCACCAGAGACCTGGAGGGTTTAAAAGTTCAGGACCCTAAACCCTATAACCCTAAACCCGAAACCCTAAACCCTCAATCCAAATCCTAAACCCTAAATCCTAAACCCTGAACCGTTTAATGTAGGGACCTGACTAAGAAACCCTTGGTCTATAACCCCCAAGATAGTATGATTCATATAAAGAACCCTAATAAAGGCCCAAGGTTTCTTAATCAGGTTCCTATATTGGGGTTGCTGGTTTGGGGTTTCTGGTTTAGGGGCTGCGGGCTTCAGGGGTGGTAAATAGGGTCAGGGTTTTTTTGGGTTTTCAGGGGTGGTCGCTGAGGGCTTAATTATGGAGTTTAGGGAACAGTGTGCAAGTGTTAAGTTTACTTGGCTGACTTCTGAACCCCTCCTAGAAGTTAACCTTTTAGCCTCCTTACCCTATGCCTCCAGGGACCTTATTATGGGGTCCTTAAGGGGTCCAGGGCCCTGACTATGGGGTCCTTGGAGGGATAGGGTTATTCTTGTAGTTCAAGTAGAAACCCCAAAAGTTAAAGTCCCAAGAGCCAACCAGTTTAGGCTCGAGGCTTGGGTTCGGGATCTCTAGCTCATATAATTTTGGTTTAACGGTAGAACGGTTTACAGGAAAAGCCAGAAAGTTGGAATATGATTATCCTAAACCCTTTATGGTAAATTATAGGGTATCCTACCCTGAAACCATATTCCAACTTTCTGGCGTTCCCTTTAAGGGTTTAGGGCAGCTGAGGGTGTAGGGGTTTAGGGTTTAGAGTGACCCCTAGTGTTCTTCCCTGTGCCCCCTAAGGTTCCATGGGGTTCCCGAGGGTCCGCAGTACGCTTCCCCTTCCCAGAGCCCCAGGAGGATCTCTAGAAAGTAGATCCCCTAATTTGGCGCCCTATACTACTAAGGGTACCTTATAGGAACCCCCATTGAGGGATCTACTTTTTTGGATCCTCCCGGGGGTCTGGGTTAAGGATCTGATAGAGGCCTCATGGATTTCTCCATCGATGTCCACAAACCTGGCATCCTGGGTTCTGTAGACCACCGAAAAAGCCACTAAGAACCCCTAACCTAACACCCTCATACACAAAAAATCAAAACACCCTAAACAAGGCCTGAATAATTGGAAACATTACACTACATAACTACAATAAAGAACGCACACAATAGTATCGGTAATTCATTTATTTAGCCCCTATCGTAACCCTAAACCCTAAACCCTTACCCCTTTTTTGCCACTGGACTGAAGTCTAGCCAGTTTAAGACCCCAATCATGTTGATCGAGGCCGACATGCAGCATCGATATCCCCAGCTTCAGAGGAGACGCTGTACCCGAAGCAGCCAGGACGTCGATACGATCTCAAAGAAAAGGAGGATGTGGTACGTGGTATACAACAAATGATGAAGTGGCGTGCAAGAAGGAAGGATTACATCACATACATCACGCGTGAGCATTAGCTGCACAGTGAAGGGTCTATACAACATGAGAAAATGGCTGAAGAAGTTGCAAACCTCCAAAGGCTCAAAGCTGTCCAAAGAAAACACACACCATCCCTCCTCAGGGTCAAGCCAGGCGAGTTGATATCCATGAGGATACAAAGCCCACAGATGTACTACGCAATTCCACTCAACACACGCCTGCAAGCAGTGACGATGGCATTCCCACGCCGTTTCGTAAACGACATGAACAGTGTCTTCATCTAGTGCAGTGACTTGGGAAGCCATGTTCTTCCACTGAAGTCTGTCCCCTGCAAGCTTGATGAGGGTCGCATCGGAAATGTCAGGGAAGTCACGCGACAGAACATGCTTGAGCCACTGGAGTGGGCTGGCCCATGGTCCAGGTCGCCCTCCGAAGGGAGCAAGGTCAGAACTAAGCAAGGCAGTACATAATGGATTATCACTACCGCGTCGTAGTACATGACCCAAAAAATTGAACTTCCTGACATACCAGCATAAGACCCAGTGGTGTTGTGGATGTTGCACTAGCAGAGCTTGCGCTGCACGACGCCTTAAGCGCTGCAAGGCCATCGCAGGTCCCTGACGCAAATGTCCAGGTAAAAACAAGTGCAGAGCCTTGGTGACGAGGGTGACTTGCAAGACACGGACATCATTGATGACATTTCTCGTGACAGGGAGCAAGGGCATAAACCAGGCAATTTTTGGGAAGATATACCGATGAATATATTGCAAGGCGTTGTGGGGACGCAACCAATGATGTAAGCGCAGAATGTTCTGATGATGACTATATCCAGTGTTGGCCAACGTCACAATGGCACTCATTAGCGTGTCACCCTCGTCGACTCCCGGTTCAAAGGAGAGGTCCTTGCGCAAATAGACTGCCCGAGAGGTCCAAGGGCATAGGTGAATGAGGGAACCCGGCGGGAATTCATCTCTAGGTTGTGCCATCAGGCTCTCATGCACGAGGAACTTGCACTTGTCAGTGTTCAACTGTAGACCAGCTGCCGCCAACGCGTGCCGAAGATCTTCACTGCATTTATAAGCATCTGCCCAAGTAGCACAACACATAATGATGTCATCGACGAATCCCCAAGTGTAAAGGAATGCGCTACACGGAACCCCTTCTGACTTCCACTTGGCATGCAATGTGTCAAGGATACACCCAACCACAGTAGCGAAGACATAGCAGCTGTGACTACCAGTACCACCTTGCTGAACACCAACCTGTTGTTGAAGTAGCCATGCATAACCGCAATAATCAAAGTGTAATCTTGCACTCACCAATACATGCAACAATCGGGCAGCTTCCCACGCGCATGACTCGTTGGATGATCGAGCAAAGAAGTCCGCGAGATACTCATGATTGACACTGTCGAAAGCACTACTAACATCAGCAAGGAACCAGACTGAGTACTGCCTAGCCCTTTTTTGATGTCGTATTCCCATATGGGCCAGAAACATGGCTTCCAAAACCTGAGTACCTGGCAAGCCTCCATATTGTAATGACGGCTGTTTCCAATGGAGCTTCAATCGATTGCATAGCAGTGTGCAGTACAGCTTCATGGTGGACTCAATGAGGTTGATGGGACGAAGATCACGGACAGTCTTTGGGTGGGGTATCTTGGCCAAGAGCAGAACAAAGGTATCATAATATGCTTGAGGTAGCTGACCATCTCGTAGAAGTAGGTTTAAATGATGCGTCAGGAATTGCAGACCCTGTGGTATAGAAGCAAATGCCTTGATAAAGTCACCCGATACTCCAGATAACCCACTGCACTTACCACACTTAATGTGCCCCACCGCACGAATAATCTCATCTTGTGTGAATAAGGAGAACGACCCCTTGCTCAACAGCGTATCAATCTTGGCCTGAACGGCGTCAGACACGTCGACTCCCGGAGTGGTGAATAACGAAGTCATCCGCTGCTCCAACTGTTTTGCTGTCGATTTTTGGCCCCCTAATGCCGAGTGAAGGTGATGAGCATCAGACTTTGGTGCACTGCGTTGTTTAATGTAGCGGACGGCCCCAGGATCACCGGCTGCAGCAAGACTCTCAAGACGAGTCCACCAAGTCCTCCTCTCAAGTAGTCTTTGACTAAGGATCTGCCGAGTGAGTTGCGCACGTACTGCGGAATCGGATTCCAGGTGTCGTTGTTGACACAAACCCTTGAGAGCATCAGAGTCGCGATACTTGCATGATGGAGTTCTAAAGGAATATGTATGTGCCATCCTTTCCAAAGTCTGCCACTGCTGGGTGACATTCATGTCAGCATAGCGAAAGACTCCCGTAGCCTTTGCCAGATTTGTCGTGTCGACCGTATACCTACCAAGGTTCTTACTAGGCTTTCTTCGCTTGCGAATCCGAGCACGCGGCCACACGACTTCAAGGAAAAGAGGACTGTGATCAGATCCCAACTCGTGTCGCTCATGGACATGGGTAGAGACCGCCACGGCCCCCGGTTCACTCGAGGCAATGCTTTGCAATCTGTGATTGATGTAGCAAAAATCCAAATGACTGCTGCTTGTAGGTCCATATCTTGTGGGTTCATCAGGTCTGTATGGTTGAAACAAGAGATCGCGGAATGCACAATCACAAATGACTGCGCGAGGAGAGTGTATGTCGGCATTGAAATCGCCAATAACCAATGTAGGTGTGCCACGCTTACTTCTCAAGAAGCCAATCAAGTCTTCTAATCCATCTTCAAAATCTGAATTCGTAGCATTGCTATGGTGTAAATGCACTGAACATACAATGATGGTACCGGGCGAATCCTTCAATGCAACTTCAACTGCCACGTAGCGTTTCCCTTTGGCACTGTCGACCAAATGGTTGATTGAATCGCTGCGTAACAATATCATCTGTATCAAATGTGACTCCACCCATGCACCCAAAATCGTAAACTCATCTAATTCAAGGGGAGACGCATTGGCTGATTCAAAGCGCTGCAGACTGCCGAAACCACTATCCGATACTTGCAACTCTGTACCTGCACTCACCTCCTGCAAGCAAATAATGTCTGCACAGCAACTGCTCTCTTCTAGCCACTCCCCAAAGGACTTAAGAGATTTGCCTTGTATATTCCAAGACATAAAGTCTGTTTGTAAAAACTTGGATTCAGCAGCAGGAGACCTGAGTCAGGCTTGATTGGCCGGCTGCCCTCGCAGATCAGAAATGATATCAGCATCCTGACAACCGAAAAAACCAACAAGTCTTGTCACATTAAAGTAGAACATGACTTGGCTCTCCTCTTCAACCGCATTTACCTGCACTGTCATGGTACGATCGGTGGGCTCCGATAGTAGACCTGCCAGTGTAGGGGCCGCCACTCTCTTCTCTCCAAGCCATATCAACTGTTTGCCCCAGTCTGTCTCAAGCTCTTGATGGGAGCCTGCTTTCCTCTGGCAGGCATGTTCAAGCTTAACCAAGGCAACACGGGTAGCACGATTCTTGGCACGTCTGGCCTCTGATTTGGAGTAGGTAAGCCAGATTCGTTGACCGCCGGTTGTCTTCCCCCCATCTGGAAACGATCGTACGAGGTCGTAGTAGAGCTGCTTGGCATCATCCTGGCGTGGTGGAGCCAAATAGATATGGCTAGTGTTGGCGCGACGTCCGTAAACCACCACTCGCTGAACAAGAGCAGTGATCTGTGGGTCCCACTGTCTCACGAAGCCCCATGTATCATCTTCAATCACCTTCTTAGTGCTATCAACAGGCCAACCTCCACATACGAGATGAGAAAAGTCAACATCCTGCTCTTGGCTTGCCGCTGAACGCTGAAACTGTCTGGTAAAAGGTTGAGTTGATGGAGCTGCAGTGCGAGCAAATCTTTGTGGAGCCTGAGCTGGGTGATTAGTGGCATCAGCAGGCGGTCGGTTACTCTGTGCTTCAGCTTTATCCATCCGTTCGACTAGAGAAGCCATTTGTACAAGGAGACCGTCCACACGCGTGTCAATGACGGGTCTGCTCTCAATGGCGCTCAGCCTTGTATGAAAACATCCCAAGGAATCATTCATGGTGCTTAACTGCGAAGTAATAGAGGACTCCAGTCGCAAGGCCCACTGTGGAGCAATGTCATCTGAAGCCTCAGTCCTGTGGTGCTGTGCCAGCCTTCGTTCAAGCTCAGCTTCAGCGTCCTCTGACTTGTCGTCGTCGAAAGCGTCATCTTCCCTATCGCGTTTTCTAGGAGATATCACTCGCCCAGGCAGTTCGTCCATGTTCGATGGGATGAGTACATGAAACGGGAATTTAAGCCGAAACCCTTACCCCTAAACCCTAAACCCCTTTACACCCGGACTATGCATATGCCAGGAACCGAGGCGCCGACTGTGCTGTGGAGTCGGGCCACACGGCTAAAACCTAAACCCCTAAACCCCTCTTAACACAGGCCCAGAATCGGCCCTCACTGGACGATAGACGGCTTCTCTCTCGCTTGTTTCCACAGGCTCCCACATTCCCGCCGTCCAGATGCCTCAGCTGTGACTTGCCCTAACTGGGAGTTTCCCACAATGGGGGACCCTAATATAGTACCCTAAATAGTAGGATCCTTATTATAAGGACCCCAAAATAGGTAACTTGCCCTTACCCATAGGCTCCATAGTAGTTCCTTTTTGGGATCACCTTATAGGATTCTGAATATAAACCCCACAAAAGGAACTACTATGGAGCCTATGGGTAGGCTCCATGTACCCTACTTGGAGTTTCATGTGTAGTTATATGTGGGGTTATAAGCAGGGTAGCTATACTTATAACCCATATTAGGGGACTGCTAAGCCCACTTGTAACTACCCATGAACCTCCAAGTATCCTCATGTACCCTATCTCGTATATAGCATATCCTTACGTAGGCCACAACGTAACTGTGTAGGAAACCCTCCCCATTTTCGAGAAAGTACAGAGGACCCTGGGGTATGGCGGTTCAGGATTCAGGATATTGGGATAGGGATTTAGGGTTTAGAGGATACCTCCTTAAAGGTATCCGTTACGGGGTCACTACTTGGCTCCCGTACACTTCGCGTATTGGGGTCACTATTAGGGCTAACCCAAAGGCGAAACTTCGGTGCCGTGCCAAGCGGAATAGATTTTCGTGGTATACTAGAGCATATTCATCGCAAGGAACCCTGGAGAACTGTACCAGGGCTTCAACTAGATTACGATTTCGGGTGCAGGGTTTAGGGTTTAGCGGATAGGGTTTGGGGCTCCGATGATGATGAAGGGTGTAGGCTGAAGAAAAAGTCTTATACATGAGAGGGTTTTTAGTCTCGGAGTGATCGGGGCTTGGTTTCGAGGCATATAACCCTACATCCTCCTACTGTACTACTGCCGCGCTGCGGTGCTATTACTGTCTTTCGCATTTCCTTGAATAGTGAACGAGGGGGGCCCCCTCTCCCCCAATAAAAACTCGGAGCGCGTTTTTAATACTATGGTGTGCTTTGATCTCCGCCTCCCTTGCTTTTGCTGCTGCTCTTACTCCTGCTGTTGCTCTTGCCTTTGCTCGTGCCTGTGCTCTTGCTTTTGCTCTTGCTCCTGCTCCTGCTGTTGTTCTTGCCGTTGCCTTTGCTCTTGCCTTGCCTCTTGCTGTTGCTCTTGCTCTTACTCCTGGTCTTGCTGTTGCTCCTACTCCTGCTGCTGCTTTTGTTCCTGCTTTGCTTTCGCTCATGCTCTTGCTCCTCCTGCTGTTCTTGCGCCGGACCGCCCCTGATGCAAATTGGGCTTTAAAGTGCAAGGATGACTTTGGGAGGATTGGCCCCAACGTGTTTTTAGTACTGGGCCTTCTGGGTGTTTAATAAATGGTGGAACGGACTAAGCCCCTCTACAACCCCCTACCCGACGTCCACGATTCAGGCAGCAAAGCCAGTGCTAGGGTGTAGGAAAGCTGTGACTTAAGCGACTTGAGTTTGTTTCACGAGTCGCTTAGCAGCTAATTACTCTCAGCAATGAATCAGGCAAAATACTGCAACTACCCATACCGTTCCTCAGTATAAGAATACTGTTGCATGCCAAACACCCTAGTCTCATTACTAACCCCCCGACATTAAGCCCTTATAAATCCTCTCAATCCCCCTATTCTGCATAACGGCCCAGACCCTGCACTGCCCTACACCCTCAACCCTAACACCTGACCCGTGAATCCCTCAATCCCTAAAGGCAAAACGCTAAATCCAAACTCCTAAACCCTCACTAAACCCTAAATCTTAAGACGCAAAACCCTAAATCGGATTAATAAATCGCAAAACCCTAAATCTTAAAACCCCTATATCCCCGAGATCCAACTCCTAAACGGCCTAGATGCTTTGACCATCGTTGAGCTTCCCCGTTCTGGCGGGGAGTTCCTTGGCTCTTGTAAAGGAACCCTGAGGGTCCATGTACCCATATAGAGATACATGAGCCCCAAAGTACCTATATAGGGACTACATTAAGGCCAACGTATATACTATATTATATACTATGTGAGTACATGGACCCTTAGGGGAAATGAGTTTCGGCCTTGAGGGCTTTATGGTTTGAGGGTTTAGGGGTTTAGGGTTTAGTGGTTTAGGGGTTTAGGGTCTATAGGCACATAAGGATTTAGGGCTTTAAGGTTTTAGCGTCTTTGGGTTTAGTGCTTGAGGGTTTTGAGGTCTGAGGATTTCAGGATTTAGCGCTTGGGGCTTTCCGGGGCTATGTAGGGTTTAGTTCAGGCTCTGTTAAGTAGTTTAGTTTGCATCACCATGGTAAGGAAAACATCTTGTTTACTTCTGCAGGTCCTCAAAGCTAAGGGTACTGAAGGTTCTGGGGTTTAGGGTCGGGCACTATGTACTTTTAACCCCTAATATTATGGTAACTGGCCCCCTTTTGTGTATCAGGACTTCTACAATCACCTGCATGTAGTATTCTGGTACCTAGCTAACCCTAAACCCTAAAAACCCCGAGCCCTAAACCCTTTAACCATTCCTAAACCCAGAATACCATACCATTCTAAGGACTTGTACAGGGAAATCATACAAGAGGTTATTCAGGTTATGGTTACTGCAATGATAATTCTCTAACACGTGCCCCGAGTTCCCAGTCGGCTGCACGGGACCCATCCCTCGCTTGGAAGTAGCCACCTGGGGGTTTCGACATGTAGGGGTTTAGGGTTTATGGGCTTCGGCGCTCACACTCGGACAATCCAGGCGAGGCATACGGTTCGGAGTCGGACAAAGTGAAACGCTCTAAGGGGACAGTCATATGATGTGTATCAACAACCTACTACTTTTTGCTTAAGAACCCCCAAAAAATTAAAAACATATTCCTTATGGGGGTAATATAGGGGTTATTATTTTTATTTTTTGGGTGTTTCTTGAGCAAATAGTAGCCTAAGTCTCAGAACAAATAAAGTAACTGTAGTCTGCGAGGCTGGGTTGGGTTTAGGGTTTAGGGGTTTTCGGCGTTTCGGCTTTAAGGCTTAAGTGTTAGGGTTACGGCTTTAGGCTTTCATGTTACAGGCTTAAGTCTTTAAGGTTAACGTTCAGGGCTTTTGAAGGATTGAAGCTTTCAGGGAGGTATAGGGTTTAATTTGAAGGTCTGAGGCATGTTGACGTTCGTGCTCGGACTGCCCAGACAGGACTGCGACGACCGTCTGGCAAAGGCGACAGACACTGCCAGCGGCTGTCGTGCGAGCTACATGACACGCGAGACGCAAGGCTGCAGGGCAACCCTCAACACAAATCTACGGGGTTGGCTTGGAAAGTTTGCCAAGGCGTCCCACCTACTGGGCTTGAGAAGGATTCGTAGAGCTTCAGGTACAGAGTTCCATAATTAGCAAGGTGCTGCTTGAAACTTTGGTCCATTCTTGGGGTGTCGATACCTTGAATATCCTAATTCCTTATTCACATTAAACTGGATGCCCCAATGTTCGAAGAACGCGTACCTTCCGCGCTGAGAATGTCCTCGACCGGAACGGCGAACTTGTAGCCCGCGGGTGCATATCTCATCCTGGGTTCTTGATAAGGGAACCTAACAGGGATCTATGGTAAATGAAAAAGGGATCTATGGTAAATAAAACGGCTTCCTTATGATGGTAACTGAGGTTAAACCCCCTAACAAGAGCCCAGCTTCTGCGTCTCAGAGGCCTCTTCGTGCGGCTCGAGGGTTTCGCAGCACACCTGGCCCATCTCAAGCCTCCACTTACCTGGGCTTTGTGGTACCCAAAGAGAACCGATACTTCGGAATGGGTCCTTTGAGGAAGAGGTCACCTAAAAACACACCAAAGCATGGCCATACTGCAGAACCCAGTTGCCATAGTGCTGCTCGCCCTGCGATGACCATGCATCATAAGTCCTAGTCCAGGCCAGCCTGTAGCTTCCGTCGCGGAAAAATTGAAAATTGAACCCAACACTTTCCTCGAAATCTTCACCCAAAGGCCGGACAGCACTGTAGCAATATGCCAGCGGATCTTTGTCATTCAAGCTTTGCTTGAAGCGGATGCAGGTGTCAAGCTTCAGGCTGTCATAGAGGAAATGCTTCCAGGGTTTGCAACTCACGCAAGCAGTCGGCTCTGTCACGTACCTGTTGGTGGTAGTCTCAGGACTCCCAACAAGAGTTCACAAATGGATGCCTCTGCAAGACTCGGAGGGAAGCTAGAACATCTACTAAGTTGCCACTTGGATACTCCAAGATCTTGGCTTGAAGTTCCTCGTCGAGCGACGGCAGCTCCATGTTGGCGCGCACGGAAGCACACGGATCAAGAGCTTGAGCCGCAGCCATGTTCTCCTTACTGGGTTCTTGTTAGGGGATTCAATTTAGGATACCATAATGTTTACAGGGATCTATAGTGATTGATCTGGTTTCCTTATTCTGGTCACTTAAACTAAATCCGTTAACAAGAAACCAGCTTAAACCCTAAACCCTAAACCTAAACCCTAAACCCTGGTGATATCGGACTCAGAGTCTGCAACCCTTACGGCTCCAAAGGACTCCAGCATTTGCATCTCTCAGGAGCTGGCACGGGTTTTCAGGTTTAGGGTTTTAGGGTTTTAGGGTTTTAGGGGAGTTTAGTGCCGCAGTGGGCCAGGACCACTACTTTCCGGCCGTACGGAAAACCGATCAGCAAGCCAAGACAACTCCTGATCCTGCTGCCTCTACTAGCTATGATGAGAACGTTGCAGGAACTATGACGCCCACATCGACGAAATCCACGGCGACGACGACTACTACGACGGCCGGTGATTACTCAAACTCCTCAGTAGCAGCTGTTGCTACCTGCTGCTGCCCCTCCTCTGCCTCGTCCTCCTACTGCTGCGGTTGCTGCTGCGAGGACTCCAAAATGCTGTTCCAACTACGCATCAACATTGGCTTGACTCCATGACCATCTCGACGGGAAAAAACTACCGCTGCACCGTACTTGGAGGGTCCGGGGACAGTAACATAACTCTACGTAGAATCCCTTAGGGTGCTTATAACTCTGCTTATAAGCTACTGACCCCCATTGTAAGGTCATCGTCCGTTATAGACTGCTATTAAGTACAAGAAATGTTACAAGATTTTATAGGGTCTTCAAGACCCAGCGACTGGGCTTTGAAGTAACCAGGGGAAAAAGTATAGACTTTTACTGAATGATTGGTTCCCTTTAAGTAACAGGTCCCAAAAAAGTATTAAAGTATGGTATTCCAAAGCCCAAAAAAAGCTATGTACCTTAAACCAGATCGAGGCGTCCCACTATCCTTCCCGGGAGTGTTCCTTCATCAAGGGCATCAGGGTACCCAGCGAGCTAGAATACCCCTTGATTAAGGAATGTACCTTAAATCATTCGGGGCTTCATATTATGATTTAAGCTATATTCCTGAGTTAAGGGGTATTGCTCTGGGTAGCTGGGGCCCTTTGGGTGCAACTTATTCCCACTGCCTCGAAAACATTGGAGGTACTGGGCCTGCTTCTGGTTTTGCAAGAATTACACAGAAACGAAACCCTACAGCCTCAACCTTAAGCCCTAAGCCTCAACCAAGCAAGCTTCGTCGCGAAAGACTCGAGCACCCTGAGGTATCAACCATGAGTTCCAAACCTCCTTCTGCTTTTGACAAGTCTGTAGAAACCCTTAGGCTTTGGGGTTTAAGGTTTATGGCCTGGGGTTGAAGCTTGAGGATTTAGGGTGTGGGCTTCGGGTCTAGGGCTCGAGGTTTGTAGTTAGGGCCTAACAATGTCTCATGTAAATTTGCTTGGACTCCAATTGCCGGGCTTCGCATCCTAAGCGGCTTAAGGCTCTGGGTTGTTTGGTCTCCCTTTTTGCACACAGGGTGGCCCGCCATGCAGGGTTCGCATGGAAACAGTACAATGAAATTAACAAAGCGAAATGCACAGCACGCGTACTGCACAGCGGCCGTGTCGTAGTGACGCCAGGGCTTCACGGTTTGGGATTTAAGACATATGGGGGCTTCCGAAAATTGGGGACCCTAACATAGCACCCTAAATAGTAGGGATCCGTATTATGAGGACCCCAAAATAAGGTACCCGTAATTTCGGAAACCCCATATAAGTCCCCTTATGTGGGTTATGTGTAATGAGTCTTCAACCCGGCGTAGGCCATTCGGTCTCATCGGGATTCCATGGCACCTGCAAACCCAGGACATCTAGCTTGTGGCTCACGTCAACCTAGGGCGGAAAAGGGACACGATACGAATATTCGCGAGGAGTAGTGAATAGCATTACTAAACCTTCAAGCTTCTATCAACCAGCTACCTCATCAAGCCCTCACAGAAACTTGGGTCGACGGTTCCCATACGACGAGACCGTTCTGATTTTGAGTGCAATTGCGAAGCAAACTGAAAGTGGTCTCCTTGCTTGCAGTGGCAAGACCAAGTGTAACAGTGGTCATCATGTACAGGAACCTTCAGCGCGAGTTCTGCCGTTATAAACCCCAATATAAGGACCCTTCAATGATCAATGATTTGAATAGCGTTCTTGAAGTGGACGTATAGGGGCCCACTGCAAGGAGATATTGCACCAACCAACCCAAAAACAAACTTGCTGCATAGAGAGGTCCGCTGGCCCCTGCGGTTGCCGGTTTAGGGTTTACAGGGAACTCCAGAAAGTTGGAATATGGTTTCATGGTAGGATACCCTATAAATTACCATAGAAGGGTTAGGATAATCATATTCCAACTTTCTGGCTTCTACCTTAGGCACGGCAGAGGGGCCTCGCGGGAAAGGAGTAAAGGCTTCCCTAAATTCCGAACCCTACTTGAAGGCTCATGGGACTTAGTAAGTAAGGTTATAAGTGGGTTATAATTAGGATAACCCCACTTAGGGGACTTATAACCCCAAGTATAACCTACTTACTAAGTCCCATGATCCTCTAAGTAACCGGGCCCTGGCCTCCAATCTACCGGACCCAAACCCTCAAGCCCCCACCTTGAACCCTTATAGCATCCAAACCTCTGCATAGGGCCCCCCAAAACAGCACGTAAGCAAAAACTAGGATTGGGATATCACATATAAACCCCTCATAAGGAACCCCAATGAGGTAGGGATATCCCTATAAAATGCTTGTGCTTATGTGCTTTTTGGGTCCCTAACTACACCCTGCACCTCAATTAAAGGCTCGACGGATGATGCACAATGGCCCTTCATGGGCTTCGTTTAAAACGAGCCCGATTGCAGGGTTCGTGGGCATAGGATGTGGGGATATCAGAAAACTAGCAAGCCCTTTCTGGGGGGATCCATTATGCAGGGGTCTTTGTTAGTATGAATCCCTTGTGGCTGGAACTCCAATGTACATCCTTGTGCCTGCAAACATCAGTGCTTCCCTATCCCGAACTCGAAACCCTGAACCCGAAATCCCTTAAGAAGCCGAAGCCCTAAACCGCTAAAGCCTACATCCTATCTCCCAGACACCCAATACCACTTAGGTAGGGAATGTATATTATATCATAATCTGAAGCCCCTTGTAATTTAAGGTGTATTCCTCGCCTACCTACGAGGTATGAAGCTTTCTGGGTATCCTAAACCCTAAACCCTGTATATACATCCTATCGCCATGCCGTGGCGCAATGTCCGTGGGCGGAGGCCCAAGATGGGTGAGTTTGGCAAAACAACCTGACAGCCAGCTTGGGATTTTTGGGCTGTACCGTAACCCCTTCCTCCTCGATCTTCAGAAGAATACCGACGTGATTTTTGAGGAAGTTAAACGAAAAATACAAGCAAAAGAAGGAACTCTGCAATTGGGGGGGGGGGGTTCGGGCTTTGGTCGGTTTTATAGTCGTGAGGTTCTGAGGTTTAGTTTGTGTCAAGTTTGGTCCCACGACCAATGCTCCGTGACCACTAAACTGTGAACCAAATGTGCTTAATCGCGTCCTGTAGGGTGTGGTGAGGGCTTCAATTGCGGCGATCGGATTGCGGCTCACGCGGCGCTTCGAGGTTGTCGGAACTGTTGTCAGCTCAGGGCTATCTTCAAAGCATTTATGCATCCTCTTTTGGTCGGAAATAGTGCTACCGCAAAAAAATATGCGGGGTTCTCAGGCGAGACCGACGGTGAGGATCCCTTCTGTTCTGCCTAAAACCCTAAACCCTAAAACCCAAACCTTAAACTCTAAACCCTACACCTTAAACCCTAAACCCTAAACCAGTTCTGAAACTCACACGCATCCAAGGGCTTGGGACATTGGGATGCCTGGGGTGCAGGACTTGGGACGGAATCCCGAAAGCCAAGACTAGACCCTAAACCCATTCACCAAAACCCTAAACCCTCAAAACCCTAAACCTGTGAACCGAACGCCCCCCAAATGAGTTATTGAACGACGTCTCTCTGAAGTGCCTGCAAGTAGCCCGCTTCATGCATGCCCACCCAAAGTCTTACAAAGAGGGCATTTTATGAAGCCACCGTAAAAATGGCCGGGAAAGCATCCCGGCCTCAATTCTTAAGCCCCGAACCCCAACTTCCCAAGCCCTCCGCACTACAATCTGCCGTGGCCTACATGGTTCAGGCAGAAGCTCACGCAGGGGTAGAGCGGGGCTCCTTTGGGCTTCATTGCCCTCCAGGAGCTGCTTTAATTAAGGACCTTTAGCGGGTCACGGCTTAGGAGATTCTTTGAAGAGTGCAGCGATAAGAATACGCAGAGAGTTGCTAGTGTAGAATGTTTAGGGTCAGCTGGAGCTATATAATGAAGCTTCCGGACCTCGCCTCAAAGCTACGTAAGGGTTCTGTCAGCCTTCTACAACTCGGTTCCTGAGTAGCGCCCTCATAATCAAGGTACCCATGTTTCTGCTACTCAGTTTTAATCAAGAGACCCTAAAACCAAAAGGCAAAAGTTCGGCAAAAGGATGCTACTCAGGAACCTAGACAACAGGGTTTTGGATGAGGTTAAGGGTTTCGCACCGCTTGATGGCGAAAAAGTCACGGGTTGTACTTGTCCTAGACGAGCAACCCTTACAGTAGAAGCCAGAAAGTTGGAATATCATTATCGTAACCCCTTGAAGGTAAATTATAGGGGATCCTACCCTGAAACCATATTCCAACTTTCCGGAGTTCCCTTTATTTCGAGGCCTCACTAGTCAGAGCGCGGGTTTAAGATACAGTGAACTTCAACTTCCCCTACGAAAACCCAAGGGATCATGTAATCCCGACCCATGTATTGAACCAGGCTCCCGGATCATGTTTGGAGCTAAACCCTAACATAATTCTCTCAAACCCGTTTACCAAACCCGGAAGCCCCTAAACCGTAAACTCCGTGTGTCATCCCCTCTCCTATCGAAACACACCTTGCTTCCAAGTTATGGGGTTTAAGATTCGGGTTAACCTTCAATCCTAGACCCAGAAAGTAATAGGCCATGATTCCTCCATTCTAGTGTATGATGCCAAAACTGGCAGGTAACTGGAGCCTCCGCATGTGGCGTTTTGATAAGCTTAGGGTAGCAAACCACCCTGATCTCTGATACCCTTGACCCGCTCATTTTGATGGTCCACTTCCGAAAAAACCCATGTGTTGCTCTCGAGTGCGGGTACAAGACTGTGAGGGGGGCAGTCCCGAATTTGGGGCCTAAACCTTAGCCCCAGTGGTGCATAACATGCATAACAAACAGTACCTAACATTCATGAATATCAGAACCCGTGACTACCCGGCTGACGATTTCGATCTGTGCTTCAGTATAGGGTCACTATCGCTTACTGGACTGTGCACTGATGCCCCTGATGTTGCCATGCTTCAACCGTGAAGGCAAAGAGATTGCAGAGCTAAGCTCTTTTTTTTTGGCGGTCTCTAGACAAATGCTCCAGCGAAGCGTGCTGAAATGCTAACTTGTTAAGTGTCCGCGACCTCTTGCGGTCATGTACACCTCTGATTAGTGCAACCGATCGCACCTTCTTTGTATTACGGAGATCAAGATGCAAAGGGAAATTACAATCGAACCCCAGACCCCCTCTTGGAGCATCCCTGAAGGGAAGCCTATACACCAAAGGCCACCGTTTTTTGATAGTTTAAGGTGGCATGTCCTTCCAAGACCAAGTGCTTCACGGTATGCCTCAAGAAGGGCCCCGTCGATTTTCGATTCAAGACGAACTCGAGGGGCGCAACGGGATGCCTGGCGCGAGCGACGACAACCAACCTTGCTGTTGTGTCAATCTTAGTCATTAGTCTGCCTTCAAACCCAGACCCCCGGAAGGATTTAAAAGTAGAACCTCCATTTCGCGATCCTATACTATATACTACTGTACTAAAGGGTACTGTCTTGGAACCCCCGTAGGGAATCTACTTTTTGGGTCCTCGCACGGGTCTGGGAAGGCCCGAACAAGATGATTCTTGACATTTTTTGGCTCCCGCTTGGCTAGTCCAAAAATCATAGCAGCCTGAATATATAATCAGACTACCCAAGCCCTTGCTCTTCCTAAAAGTTCTTGAGTATAAGCATACCATAGTACACCCAAAACCTGCGCTAAGTGCTAAGGACAGTATGCGAAGGGTACTCCCAACTTTCGATCTCTGCCCCACTGGCTTTTGGGTGTTTGGGAAGCATTCTCTGAAACCCCATTACTTGGAGGTTCATGGGTAGTCAAAGTGGGTTCTAAGTAAGGTATCTGCACTTACAACTCAAAAACCATATTCCGGTACTCATAAACGTACTTGTAACTACCCATGAACCTCCAAGTAAGGTTGAGGGATTAAGGTTTAGGGCAGGGTGCCAAATTTCAAACCAAGCATGCCAGCTGTGTAGAGGCCTTCGCAGGCATTTGCGGCCTTCTGCCCCTAACCACCCCCCACAATAATAAATTCGGCCCCAAAAGCAGACAAAGCCTTTAGATATCCCTTCATAAAGCCGTTGTCCGAACCCTAGACCCTTCATAGAAGCCTCAATTTGCAAGTAGGTACTTTACTTTGCGCCTTTGGTCGTAAAGGCTTCCGAAAAGACTCCAAACGTACAAATCCCCAAAGCCATGGCCTGAACCCAAGAGATCTGGACACCAGCATAGAACCCATACAAAACCACTAGAAGGGCTGAGGGTTTAGGGGTCAGGGGTTTATGGGTTTAGGATTTATAAGATTTAGGGTTTAAGGGTTAGAGTTGAGGGTTCAGGGTTCAGGGGTTAGGGTTGAGGGGTCATTCGAAGAACCCTTGTGAAAACCCTAAACGGAAGCCAACGCTGTGAACTATGCCTGCCTCAGGTCCACAATCACACCAACGCGATCGCCGATGGCCATGGGATGCGACCTTCACAAGGGAGTTTCCAAAAATTAGGAGTACCTTTGGGCTCCTTATAACAAGGATCCTACTATTGCGTACGAGATTAAGCCTTACAACCCCACTTATGACTACTCTACCCTAAACCCTTTTTTGCATCCAGGCCTCTTGAAGTCTTGCTACCCTAAACCCTAAACCCTAAATCCCTATAGAACCCTTTACAGGGACCCTTAAAGGTCCCCTATAAATCCCCAAAGGCTGAGGGCTAGGGTGTCAGACGTACTGAAGGCGACAAGCGGAGCAGGTCCAATGGACGTCAATTGTAGAGACGACAATGCTTAGACGAAGGTTTTGGTGTTGGTGGACCAACTAATAACATACAGGTTGGTATGTATGTAAAAATGAAGAAAATGAACATGTACACGGTGGTTGAGGGTCTTACAGGTTTTCGGTGATGATGGACGACGTCTTGCATTGTCCGCAACCACGCATGCAAAACAATTTCCCAAATCTAGGGTGCCGGTGGCCATAATGCCGGATTTCATCCTCAGCAGTTCAATACGTATTTTAATAAATATGTGTGTATATATATATATATATATACATATGTGTATGTATGTATATATATATATATATATCCATCCATATCCCTGCTACCCAGACCCTGAACCGATGGGTTTCCAAGACAAACAACCCACACAATCGAAACACTGCCTTCTCCAGGCATAAACCACTTTTGTCCTACGAAGCCTCGAACGAAACAACGCATATCCTTCAAACACAACTAAACCCTCAAAAATCATAACCCTTTCGCAACCCCAATCCGTAAAACCCAAAACCCTAAAACCCTATCCCGTTTTCCACCTGGGCTGTGCATACGCGCGGACCTTAACCCCTAAACTCTAGCCTTTTGCGAGATAGCCTTCAACTTCCAAAACCAAACTGTTTTGTATGGTCCGTATGGACCTTACATATGAAATATGCTTCGAAAACCTTCAAGAGTAGGTTAGAGTAGTTTAAGGTTAGCCTTAAAGTAGCTCTGGGGATTCCGACTTTGTCAATCCTCCCGGACGATATCGATTGCCTGCAGGCAGGCTATCATAGGGATCCTTAGGGGTGTAGGGGGGAGGGGTGTAGGGGACTGTATTTCCTTAAATAGGCCTTATTAGTCCTTATTATGGGCCTTAAGGCCCCCTACCCCCCCTCCCCCTACACCCCTAAGGATCCCTATGAGGCTAGCCTTTCCAATGTTTTTAGGATGTCCCATGGTTCAGGGCTCAGGGCTTATACGGGAGTTTCCGAAAATAGGGGACCCTAATATGGTACCCTAAATAGTAGGATCATTATTGTAAGGACCCCCAAAAAAGGTACCCCTCATTTTTGGAAACTCCCATACGGTTGTTGAATGTGCTGTGGGACTTTTGGAGGGTTCTGCCTTGGAGTTTACGTGCGTTGCTTTTAGGGAGTTGGGGAATTGAGGATTTACGCTCTCGCAACTCGGACATGCCAGACGAGGTTCACGGTGGTGAAGATTTTAAGTCTTTTGGGCATAAGACTTGCAAGGATTAGGGTCTATAGGGTTTAGGGCTTTAGAGGGCTGGTCAGCTAGTCCCGTCCTGGCTTGAGGAAATGATGGCTTAATTCAAAACCTAAACCGCGAGGACCCTGACGCTACTGATCTACACTGGCAAGCTTTGTAGAATTAATCAGGCTTCGGGTATGGTACTCGAGTGATAGAATCCAGGAGACACTATACCCCCCCTAGAACCATGTCAAAAACAATATTGTTAATACTCTGCTGGGCTTTATCTGAAGAAAGATACAAACTATTCCTAAGGAGACCCTAAATAGTAGGATCCTTCTTGTAAGGACGCCAAAACAAGGTACCCCTAATTTTCGGAATCTCTCATAGAATCGAGTTATAAGTACCCTAAATGGACTTACCTCAATTATCACCCCACTCATAACCTGCTAAGTCCGCTGCCCCTCCAAGTAGAATCCGGGAGGCAGGCTGCGACTTCCTAAACCACAGCGTGCATCAGCTGCCTCGGTGGTAAATATCGCCGTCGTCCCACCAGAAGGAGAATTCCTAGGTTGGCCCTTGAAAGCCTCTTGAAAAATATTCGTAACTAGGGTCCTTCCCATATATTCCCAGTTATGGGTAATGCAGGATTTATATCATCAACCGAAGTAGGGGCCTAATAACCCCAATAAGGGAAAACATTAAATGTTTCGAAGGCCTACCTAGATGAGAGTTTCCGACAATAGGGGACCCTAATATGGTACCCTAGATAGTAGGATCCTTATTATAAGGACCCCAAAATAAGGTACCCCTAATTTTCGGAAATCCCCAGAATCATCTTGAGCTTTCCCAAGGTATCCCATACGCGGCCGCTCGCGGCAAATTCCCATGCCTCAGCTCGATCTAAGCAGCAAGGGGCCTGGGAAATCGAAGCAAGCTTAGAGGATCATGGGACTTAGTAAGCAGGTTATACTTGGGGTTATAAGTCCCCTAAGTGGGGTTATCCTAATTATAGCCTACTTATAACCTTACTTACTAAGTCCTATGATCCTCTAAGTAGACCCTAAACCCTAAACCCCATAGATCCCTTTAAGGAACCCTATAGATCCCTTTAAGGAGCCCTTTAAGAACCCTTACTAAGTCCCATGAGCCTTCAAGAGGGCACCAGGAGGCCTTCGTGTCACGCCTTCCGAACTATCCTTCGGAGCGAGAAGAACGCTGCCGGAGATGGATGGAGATTCAAGGGAACGAATCCGCAAGAGGTAAACGCATGGCATGGGCGACAGTCTTAAAGGCTGTTGTGGGAAGTGGAAATAGTGTATGCCTAGACCCAAGAGTAACCAAGGAATAAAAGGGTGCCCTTTTTGGTTTAAAGGGGCATATAAGGGAACCTGAACCCTTAAAAAAGGGAATAAGGGCCTACTCCAGGTCCTAGATGCAAAGCATCAGAGGCACTTAAACTCTAAACACCAAAAATCCTAAACCCCTTTTTGCATCCAGGCCTAGCCGGGCACCCCTGAAGATCCTAAACCCCTAAACCAGAAAACCCTGAACCTACTATTTGCTTAAGAACCCCCCAAAAAATAAAAATAATAATCCCTATATTACCCCCATAAGGAATATATTTTTTATTTTTTGGGGGTTCTTAAGCGAATAGTAGGAACCCTAGATCAGATCCGGAACACCCTCGCAAACCCAGGGAGGCGGCAGCGAGGGTAGAAACGGAGCCTCAACAATTCTGACGGCGTCTTGGGCCGGTTGAAGGCTACGGATTAAAAAAAGGGCCCTACAAATTTGGCATCATGTTGCTATGATTCCGACCCTACAGCATAGTTTGCAGGTCACTGAGAAGCGCATCTTCCGACATCACGCGTTTCGGCCTATTACTAATTACACTCCCCCAACACAATCAGTCTTGGAGGTTCCGTTTGGCAAGCTTTGCAGGTTAAGGCTTCTTTGCTTTCCGTGGCCAGACCTAATGTCGTCAACCCCCTAATGTCGTCAACCCTCTCTCTCTCTCTCTCTCTCTCTCTCTCTCTCTCTCTCTCTCTCTCTCTCTCTCTCTCTCTCTCTCTCTCTCTCTCAGGCACTCGAATGTCGTCAACCCTAAACCCTAAATCCGCTAATTATGCGAAACCTCAACCTCCCTCTTTTCGCGTGAGAAAGGCTCAAGCCAGGAGGACAAAAAAGTTCTTCGCCGCACCCCCTCTCTCGTGATCTTGTGAACGGAAAGGCCTCAAACTACTGTAGGATGATTCATAATTGGAATAGGGTTTTGGGTAAATTGTACCATAAGTGTAGTAAGGAACCCCCAAAATAGTATAGGTAACTATTGAGGCCCCTATATTAACTGTGCGCTGCTTCTTGGCGAGCCCTATCGGTGAAACTTCGCCACCACTTAGCTATCCTTTACAAGAAGCCCTGAAAAATATTCAAACAAACTCAAGCCGTTATGTTCTAACAGGGCTTGGGACTGAGCAGAGACTGCATCTGAAAGTCGGAACCACCTTACACAAGCCCCGAAGACAAGAGGCAAGAATGGATACGAATCGCATCTGAGCCACGGAAACTGATCTTGCGCCTTTCCGTAACGCCCGACCAGCACAACCTTGCCAGCTGATCCCTAATACCCTTCAGAGGGTTCCTACATACTACGATGAGGGAATGGGGCTTCGCAAGAGCATCCGCATTCTGCTGTCAAAGGGCGACTTCAATAATAGTAGTAAGATATATGGACTATGGACCCACTACGTTGTAGAACCCTCATGCTATAGGGCCTAATAACTAGAATAGGGTTTTGGGGCCCATCATACAATAATTACAATAAGGAACCCCCAAAATAGTATAGGCAATTATGTAAGTGATAAGGCCCCAAAAGTTTGCGCCTTAAGGGTTATTACAAGGGTACCACGAAGATGCCATAAGGGTTGGGATAAGCCTTGTAGTAGCCGTTATCATCCCTGAAAGTATCCTTCTTGTAGGAGCCCTTGAAGGATTCCCGAAAGCAACCACTGGCATGCAAATCAGTGCCGCTGCTGAAATCTGTTTCAAGGAACCAACAGGTTACCCACCCTGTTCGCACAGACTTGTATATGCCCGCCTGGATGGCAACCTTAAACCCTAAACCCTCAACCGTGCACCCTGAACTTTCCCTAGGATACCCAGTAACTTAAGAATAAAAAGGCCTCTCTTTTTGGTATTGGGTAACTTGATAAGGAACCTAGGACTACAAAAAGGGAATAAGGGTACTACTGGGCATCCTAGTTCCCTGAAGGTTAAGCCCTACCTGTAGCCGGAAAGACCTACCTTTTTAGGGTTCCTCATTATGGCTTCTATACATAGTTCCTGAAAAGGTAGGTCTTTTCGGCTAGGTACACCCTCATCAGAAAGGGCTCCTGGCGATGTGGCCCACGCGGCTTTTCCCGGAACTCGGAACCCGAGCCTTGCCCTCCTAGAAGGAAAGCATAACCCAGAGAGCCCAATACCGCTTACCCTAGGGTTCCTTTAAGGGATCTATAGGGTTAGGGTTCCAATACCCCTTAATTATAAGGAATATACCTTAAATCATTAAGGGCTTCATATAATGACTTAAGCTATATTCCTTAATTAAGGGGTTTTGGACTCTCTGGGACGAGGCCAATATTGCGGGCTTCATGATGCAGAACAGGCTGCTGGGGTCTATTGTAGGGACGATACGGTTTAGGGTTTAGGGTTTAGGGTTTAGGGGATATTGTTACTATGCATCCCGACCCCTATATTCACTCACCGAAAAGCCTGAAGGATTCGAGGTCATCCAATTGGCAGTTAGGTTTGGGGCATTCCAGGTTGTTCACATGATTCTTTTTCTTGGTACCCAAACCAAGAAAAAACCCCAACTGCTACAGCCCTCTTGGCTATCTCCAATGTCTCTCCTGGGTAGTGTTGAAGCTGTGAAGTTTTCCTGGCTCTGCATCGACAAGACAAGTTCGAGAACATCTGCCCGGAGAGCCCCCACGGCTTCCTGTTGGGACAAGGAGTTCTGAAGAGCAGAACATCTTACGGCAGGGCCCGCTATGACTTCCTGCTCGGTAGAGGGTTTCTGAAAAGCAAAACATCTTCCTGCAGGGCCCCACGGCTTCCTGCTGGGAAAAGGGTTTCGGAAAAGCAGCAGTCTCAGCACCGAGTATCCTTATCAAGCATACCGAGCCTGCTTGGCGACTTTGAAATCCCATTCCCCCTCTGGGAAGAATTTTCGCAAACGCCAGTCACAAGACCGCGCATGCCCGTCCATGCCTTCCATGCGGCTGATGCGGGAGCCCACGGCACTGAAGACTTTGTTCGCCTCCGGATCGATCCTTAGTTGCTGAGTTCATAAGCCCCCAAAAGTGTGAACTTTTAGGTTTAGAGTGGGCAATGTTATCCCAAGAAGTGTAAAGTGTAATCACTCAGCTCCTAAGGATCTCCTGCCAGGTGAGAATCTTCAAGAACTTCATCACATTCAGACCGCCGCTGTACCGGGCCGCCTTCTTCGTTGGCAGGATGTGGTTGGTGCCAGAGCACTTATCCCCATGGGTGACGGTGGCCCCCTCACCCAAGAAGAGGGAGCCATAATTCTTCAGATTCTCGCGCCACCAGGTCACATCTTCAGCAAGGACTTGGAGATGCTCACAAGCATATTGATCAGAGACCTCACAAACTTTCTCCCGGGTTTCGCAGAAGATTACCTCGCCATGGTTGTTCCAGGCATTTCTGACGACATCACCACTTGGCATGTCTCCGGCGACTTTTAAGACGAGATCACTGGCTTGTTCGGCCAATGGGCGGGAGGTGGTGAACAACCACACCGGGGAGTTAACACCATGTTCTGCCTGCCCAGCAAGGTCTACAGCGACTGTCATCGGATCTGCGGTGTGATCAGCAATTATTGCACTCTCCGTTGGACCAGCGAATACATCAATGCCAACTTCACCGAAGAGCTGCCGCTTAGCCTCCGCAACATAGGCGTTTCCGGGACCCACCAAAATGTCTGCTTTTTGAGCACCAAACAGACCAAAGGCCATGGAGGCAATTGCATGAACGCCACCCATCTCCTGGCTTGCCCAGTAGCCTAGGGGAACTAAAAGTTTTGTTTGACCTTTGGGATAATGTTTAATGTAGGGATTATATTCCCGTACTACCCCAGAAAGGTAAAACATCACCTACAGTATACTACTACGTATACCACAATACCCCAGAAAGGTAAAAGATCACCTACCGTATTACTAATTACTACGTCTGAGTCTCTAGGATGACGTCCGCCCCGGCCAGATCCATTGCATAGGCGACTTCCGGTGCGATGGAGTCTCCGCGTGGAGGAGAAGCGGCAACAATGAAAGGAACACCGGCTACCTTTAGGGTTTAGGGTTCATGATTTAAAGGGTTTAGGATTTAGGATTTAGGGTCTAGGGTATAGGATTTAGGGTTTAGAGTTTAGGGTTGAAAGGAACACCGGCCACCTTTGCAGTCGCAATGCTCATAATAGCAGAAGCCGCATGGGCATAGCGCCCGCCCGGCACATAGCATCCCGCACAATTGACTGGCTGCAGCTTCTGGCCAAGACGCACACCAGGTTCTGTTTCAATACTGAATTCCTGAATACTGTCCCGTTGGGCCTGGGAAAAACGAGCAACCTGCTTATAGGCGAACTGAATGTCAGCCTTATCGCTTTCTGAGACCTGCGCAATGAGAGCTTTTCGTTTCTCGTCGGAAAGAACGAAGTCGCCGGTCCAGCGATCAAACTTCTTAGCATACTCTTTGACGGCGGCCTCCCCATTGCAGCGGATATTGGCAATCATCGCTTCAATATTCTGGCGGATAGAAAGGTCAGCAGCTTCTTCATGAACGCGGGGTGTTTTCATATGTTCCATGGCAGCGAACTCCGTGCCACTACGAAGCTGTCCCGGGATGGGCGGCCAAAGCCTGGCGGAGTCCTTCCATTTGCAGCTGTTGCAGCGCCCCCTTCCCGAGGAAGTCTTTTGAAAGCAAAGATGTAAGTAATCAAAAACTCACATGATGCAAGCTTCAGTCTCACGGAAGAAGTAAAATGACATTAAGAGTAGCGGTATTTCAAGATCACCGAAGCTCCAACTTATGCTACATGGCGGGTTCAAAAGGATTGAATTCGATAATCAGGCCAGCTTTCGTAACCCGAAGCACACCCAAAATAAACCGTAAACCTTAGAAGGGGTCCCCACCCTGTAATAGTGTAATAATAGGAATATAATATTTCCCGAATATAATCCTTATATTCACTATTACAGGGTGGGGCCAGCTTCTAACCTAAACCCTACACCAGTGCTCGCGAGCTGCTCTACCTCGAAGTAGTGCTGCTGACCAGCGGCGAGAGGCACCGGGATGAGAGCCTAGGGTTTAGGGTTTAGGGTTTCGGCGCTCACACTCGGACAAGGGTTTAGGGTTTAGGGTTTAGGGTTTTTGAGTCAGTTTTGCTTCTGCCCATGATCCGTCGTTACTATTACTGCTGGGGGCACAGAGTTTAGGGCCTAGAGAATTACTATCAATAGGGGTCCCGGTAGTTAAGGTAGTGAGGCTTCACCAGCCCTAAACCCTTCAAAACAGAATTCTGTGTACCCCTAGACACCTAAATCTGCCACAGGCTACAAAACCCAATAAACCCTAAACCCCAACGAAACCTGTATTTCTTACACAAGACCAAAACACTAAACGGGCTGACGCAAGACTGCAAGGGCCCTGCTCTCGATGCTGGAGCCAGGTCAGGCGGTTGCGAAAGGGCCCCGTCACCCAGAATCTTGTGTTAGCTTGTAGAATGTTGTGGAGGGGCGTTCTGCGTGTTTCAAGCTGCGAGAGACTTGCAGGTGCTACGGCAAGCTACTGGCTTTCAAGCTTCGTGTCAGGGCGGCAACTTGCAACGACGCTGTCCGGGAAGAATATGAAACGGGAGGTGGTCATGATGGAGGTTCTGGAGGTTGTGTGGCAGCCGTAAATCCCCTCAACTTTTTTCCCAAAGCCTTGAAAGGCTTACGAACCTGAAAAAAAACAAAATACCTGAATCTGGCCCCCAGTTGTCCACCCCTCTGGCCCATAAAGACCTGAACTCGTCCCGTCTCCTCAAGTCGTCTAGATATATGTGGGTAGTTGTCAAAATCATGGCCCCTTTTTGGGTACCCTAAATACTAGGTGCCGTATTATAATAGGGACCCAGAAAAGGGACCATGATTTTGACAACCACCTATATGTAGCCAAAGGTGCCGACGGATAGAAGCTCCCGCCGCGACTTTTGAGACTTGCGCAGTTCCCGCCATCCTGACACGCCACCCAGGTCTTTCCCCAAGGGTCGATGTACCCAATTAATATATACAATGGGCCCAATGTACCCATATAGGGAGTACTGTAAGGCCAATGCTTGTACTATTTAGGTACATGGACCCTTAGGGTTTTATGGCCCAAGCACAATCAGATGACCACTTGCTCGTAAATCACAGCTGGAACTTGGCGGTGACGGTGGCACTGCTGAAGGTGCTGCTCGTGTTCAGATAGTAGTTGTGTTGGCAAGACAGATTCAGAAGTACGTACTCGTTGCAGCAGGAGCACTCGCGCTTCGGCACTGGTACTGGTGCTGCTGGTGGTGGTTGCGGTGATGGCAGCGACATGGTTACAAACTACAGCAATTTGTCGAAACATCGGCACGGTTGAAAGTATGCTGAAAGTACCCAAACTTGCATCTAAACTGTATGTATGATGAAGAGGTCGAGAAGCTGAAGGGACTGCAAAAAACCAAAGAGCTGGATCTCGTATCTCATCGGGAGATGTGAGGCGCTCTTGATCGCTTTTTGACACGGGCTGAAGAGCTCTTGTTCCATACTGGATCAACAACAGATGAGTTTCGTTAGTCATTATTTTGGGTGGGTGGGTGGGTGGGTGGGCGAGCAAGTGAATGAAAGGGTGAGCGAGTGAGCTCGTGATTCGATGAGTCAGTGACTGAGTGGATTCTCGGCGGATTTCTTGCGAAAAGCTGGCAATAGGAGTGACAGAAGCCAGTTGCAGACTTTCCATTGGCACCGCCTACTCGAAGAGACTCTTCTTACCCTCTTCTAGTTCTATCAACGCTGAACCTGCCAGCAACAATCGCGAAACACAGTTCGAACAGAGTAGAGACCTGCTAGACCGTCAGAGCCTGAGAAATGTCAATTTTCTCACACCTTATGCCCTTTTCTGCTACTGGACTCAAGTGACTCAAGTCTAGCCAGACGACGACCTGCAACATCCTACAACCACCCGGACACCTCGAGTCCTAAACTGACAATCACAGGCCTTAAGCCCTAAACCCTCGACATAAAAACCACGATGCCCAGCAACAGCGAAGCTCCTGAACCCCAAAGCTCCAACTCCTTCTTCAGAGAACGAACGACTGACGGAAGAAGCCCTGAACCACCGGCTGGCTCCTCAATGATGATGCCGTCGTCCGCATCGCTTTGCTGGAAGCCTTGGGTGCTAGGGCGTAGGACTCGTGCAATGTGGATTGAAGCGTTTCGGGTCGACGGGCTCCACAAGGTGTCTGTTGGATTGTGGGGTCTATGGGCCTTCCGCTGCTTGGGTGAGGTGTGGCGGTCCCCAGACATTCCGATGCTAATCCAATCAAGTGAAAATGAAGTTCCTCTGTTCTCGATGCTGCCACACCGCAGCCTGGAGGGAACGACTGAAAGGTGGCAACATGCCACCATTGCTTTATCAAATGCTGCCACCGGCGCGGGATGACGGCCTCGTGCAGCAAAGCTCCAAAACTCCGACATGACCCTGGTAAGCATCAGAGCCCAAAGCCTAAAATCCCGAAAACTCTGCTTGGGAATTAATTACTGTCCCCCCTCTTGTGGACCCGAATATACATATTCTAAAAAGATGCCCCACGACCCTATTTCTGTTTGCAAGGCCTCAATAGCAGCAACGTCCAAGTGACGTGGATGCCCCAACACGGCGGTCAGGACGGCACCATCCTCACTTGAAGGCTCATGGGACTTAGTAAGTAAGGTTATAAGTAGGTTATAATTAGGATAACCCCCACTTAGGGGACTTATAACCCCAACTATAACCTACTTACTAAGTCCCATGATCCTCTAAGTAGGGGCTCTCGAAACTGGGACGAGGGGGACTTAGGCCTTAATAAAGGGCTTTAAGAATTAGAATAGGGTGTTGGGGCCCATTTTCCTATAACTCTAATAAGGAACCCCCCAAATTAGCATAGGTAATTAATTAGGCCCCTATAGTAGGTTTAAAGTTTAAGGCTGCAGGGATTAGGAGGGCCTAGGGCTTAGGGTGTTGGGTCTACCCAGAGCCTCCAAAACCCCCTTAATTAAGGAATATACCTTAAATCATATAGGGATCCTACGATAATTTAAGGTATATTCCTTAATTAAGGGGTTTTGGAGGCTCTGGGTAGTTTCTTCCCACCCTCCCGGGCTTGGGTTTCCCGGAGAGCCCAATCCTTAAATCATGTTGAATTAAGCTATATTCCTGAATCATGTAAGGGGTATCGGGCTCTTTGGGTTGGGGTTTAGAGTTTGGCACTCATCAGGTGTCTATGCTAAACTTTTTAGGTTCCCTGCTGATAAGGCTTAGAAGTGCTTGGTTTGGAGTTTCGGTGTTTCGGGGTTTACGGTTTCCGGGTTTCCAACACCCCAAACCCCCTTTAGCTGAGGAGAGGCCTCGAAATATGAATAAAGGAGGAGAGGCCTCGAAATATGAATAAAGGATCCGGAATATGAATTAAACCTTTATATACTAGAAAGCATATAAATCTCTGACAGCCTGCACCCTGCAGCCGAAAACCCTATAACCCCAAGGCCCCATAACAAGGAACACAACTTGATCGAGACCAATCATACCAGTCGTGGCACTTCGACATCCATGGGCTGTGCGTTGTCCAGCACCTCTGCAGCGGTGCTGGGTCGCAGCAAACAACACTCGTAGTGTGAAGAGATCAATCCAAGGCAGCAACCAAGCACTCTTTTCTTACTTCCTAATATTACAGTTACTACTATCTAATACTATTAATACTACTAATACCACTAACACTACTAATACTACTATGAAATGGAAAGATTCGCTATGCGCTGGAACACGTTTCGCCCCTAAATGCTGGTGCTCGTCAGCCTGAACCCAAACACCAACAGTACAGCCACCCTCAACTGTTAAACTACTATTTGCTTAAGAAACACTCAAAAAATAAAAATAATAATCCCTATATTACCACCATAAGGAATATTTTTTTATTTTTTGGTGGTTCTTAAGCAAATAGTAGTAAAGCGGTGCTGGGCATGAGACTGACATACAACACTAACGTATATAGAGCAAAACAATTGGCTCACCCTAACCCACCCTGCCACGTGAAATTGTACAGTAGGCGGAAAAGGCGGGCAAAACCTGACACGCTTGCCCGAAATGTAGCTCGCTAAACTCTGAAGACGACAGTAGAGCTTTCTAGGCGCCCTTCCGCTTCCCAGGCGCCCCAATCTCTGAACCCTGCGCCCACGTCCCGAAACCTAGAAATAGAAACCTGCATAGTTACCCAACGTAGTCCTTAACATTCAGGGGTCCTTTCTCATCCCCATACTATACGAAACACTGATAGTCATCCTTATGACAACGTATGCAGTCACGTAGCCACCACTAAAGACTGCTTGAAGGAACCCTACCTCGAGCACCCTTTGCTTTAAGCCTTCAACCCTATCGAATCCTTAAATTACTTAGAGGATCATGGGACTTAGTAAGTAGGTTATAATTGGGGTTATAAGTCCCCTAAGTGGGGTTATCCTTATTGTAACCTACTTATAACCTTACTTACTAAGTCCCGTGAGAATTAAATTAAAGGAACCCTACCTTTCATATAGAACTACCTATGACCCTATACTTGTAACTATACCCAGGAACCGTACTCTTCTCCCTTCCCAAATAACCGGGCCCCCCAAAAAAGCTCAAACTTTCTAAAATAGACTAAATATATAGGGCCAAAAAGTTGAAGGCCCTCCGATTGCTTGAGCAAGTCTTAACATTCCTTATAATGTAGTACACTAAACCCTAAACCCCTGAAGTACCCTCTTTAGATCCCTTAAAGGGACCCGTATAGCCATACTCACTAAGTCCCATGACTAGGATGCCCAGTAACCTACTTAGTAGCGCTTATAGGACCCGTTTAAAGGAATCCTTTACAGGAAACCTGTAGGTATTAACCCTAAACGCCCCCCTAAGCCCTAAAGCGTTAACCCTAACCCAGCGAGCCGAATAGCTCTTAATTAAGGAATCTACCTTAAATCATTGGGGGCTTCATACTATGATTTTAGCCATATTATCCTTAATCAAGAAGTATTGGGCTCTCTGGGAAGCTCCGTCTTAGCATTCCTTATAATATAGTAAGTAACCCTTATAGGACCCTTTTAAAGGAACCCTACAAAGGAGCCCCATTCTAATTATTTAGGCCCCTATAGAGCTCTTAACATGCGCCAACCTCGGATCCCAGCAGCAGCGCATCCAAACAGCGCCCGGAGGGCAGCAGATCGACGATCTCGGGGGGACTTTCTTTTTCTTTTTTGAAGCCTCTTTTCCTCCTGCCCTGTTGGTTAGTCGGAATGCCCTGCGGGCTCAGGGGCTGTTCCGAATGCCGGCCTTAGCGAAGGAGGCTACCTCATTACCAAATCCTCAAACACTTACAATGTCCTTATGGGAGGGGGCTCCAAAGGGGGTAGATCAGCTACTAATCCCTAGTTCTCTCTAGTGCTCCCTAAAGTTCCCTTAAGCTTCCCTAAGGATCCTTTCTACCCTCCCCCCTTGAACCACCCTCCCTTAAGGACCCTATAAAACACGGACCCCACCGGCTTCGGTAAACAGGAGGAGCCTTCCACTTCTCTCCAGGCAGACAAGTCGTCTGTTCCGGGGAGACAGCACGAAGTAAAACCACTCAGCTTAGGGGTGAGGTACTAAAGGCATGCCTTTAGGATGTCCTTAAGGGGGGGTGGTCCAAGGGGGGTAGGTAACCTAGTAATCCCCATTATTCCCCAATACTCCCTAAGCTTCCCTAAGGTTCCCCAAAGCTCCCTAGTACCCTCCCCCCTTGAACCACCCCCCCTTAAGGATCCTATAATACAGTAGGAGCCTTCCACTTCTGTCCAGGCAGACAAGTCGTCTGTCCCGGGGAAACAGCACGAAGTAAAACCACTCAGCTTAGGGGGTGAGGTACTAAAGGCATGCCTGGCTGCCTAGCCCAAAGAACGCCTCGTGGGGACTTTCGGGGTTTAGGGTTTGGAGTACAGAGTTTAGGGTTTTTTTGGCTACCTCCTGCATGGCTGAGTTTGGGGTTTAGATTTTGTTTAGGGTGTAGAGTTTAGGGTTTAGGGTTTCGGTTTAAAGAGGTTTTTAGCAAGGACGAGGCCTAGGGTATAGAGTAGTTTCGGCGCTCACACTCGGAAAATTCAGGCGAGGCATGTGGTTCGAGGTCTAATGAGTGAGACTTCTACCATGGGAAAGTTCCGTAACGACAGCTGTGCACTCAGACATGAAAGATCTTGCATTCCCCTCTCAAAAATCCAACAGAAACTGAAAGCAGCATCTGCTAGCGTGCCTAGCGCCACTTTGGATTTTGAGGACTACAATCGGCAGATCACAGTCAACCGGGCGTACGAGGCAACTAACGGCCCATAAAGGGGTTCACACGACCGGGGCGATCGATGTACTCATCTGCAGCCTGTGGTGCTGCCGCCGCCCAACTCGCACCTTGCTGATTTATCAACTCAAAAACCCTAAAGCGCCTTTTAGCAGCAGGCCTCGTTGTCCAGCAGCCCGGTTACAGCAAAGAAAGCCCCTAAACCCTAAACCTTGAACTGCGAACCCCTAAAGCCTGAGCCCTCCCAGGAGGAGTCGAGCCTGCATCTTGAAGCTGCCACAGGTCATTCCTGGAGTCACCAGAGCACTTGTGAGCATCTCCCCCGCGATGGTCTGGAGCTCCACACGCACCTTTCGCGAGCTCGGGAAAAGCTTCCAAGCTGGTGATGCTTCAATGGGCCCGTCAGGAACCTATAGCGAGCGCCGCGCTTCAACTGAGGGTTTAAAGCTCACCCAGACCCCAGACCCTCAACTTGCCTTGCACTTAAGCCTAGGGTTGAAAGTTGGCAAGGAGCGTGCTCAGCCCGTTGTGCTTCTGTGGGGGTTGTAAGGAAGGCGTGGACAGACGTGCGGCACGAACCTTCGGGTTTAAGCCACAGGCCACCAGCCGCCTGAGAGCCCGAAGATCTGACAAAGCTTTCTTTTGAACGTCCCTTTTCCGTCTCGCAAGATCTGGGCCTGGGCGTAAGAGGGCAGCCTTTTTAACATCCGGAGAAAAACACACTTCGCACCACATCTAGTTCACGAGCCCGGGCTTAGGGTTTAGGGGTTTAGGGGTAGGTCGGGCGCCCAAGATCCTGAGACTGCACAGCCAAGCAAAGCACAAACTTCTTAACACTACCTGCAGTCCCCGAAGAAGTTCCTTGGCTGTCGTAAAGCCCTCTTTGTGGCTAGCACCCTATCGTATATAACACAAGGAACTACATTGGCAGATTGGTAGCTATAGGTAACGATTCCATCACACTTTTAGACCTTCAACCATTGACTGGAGAATTTCAGTTTCAATAAATCCCAAGGCCCAAAGTTGTCTACCCGGTAACCCCGAAACCCCAAACCCTGAACCCCAAGCGCTGAACCCTACCTGCCGAGGCTGTGCCGCAGCATCTGCCCCCGATTCCGCAGCCTCTCGACGGGTCTTGGTGGATATCCGTTTAACCCTTTTTTTGCAGCAGGCCTCGTTGTCCAGCAGCAACAGCCCCCTAACCCTAAACCCCAAATCCAAAACTAAACCCTAAGCCCTAAACCCTAAACCCTAAACCCGTTCAGGGCCTGGGTTTTTTTACTCTCGCAACTCGGACCATGCAGGCGAGGATTGTTCGGTAGCACTTTGGCCGGGCCACTATACTATAGTTATAATCAGGAACACCCAAAATAGTATAGGTAATTATTTAGGCCCCTATAGTATGGGCTTCCGGTACCGGTCTTGTGACACGGGTAGAAGGAACATACCCACCCCCTAACAGGGGTGGGGTAGTGGGGGGTGGTTCGGAAATGAGACCGGGTCCATTCCTGGGGATGCTCGTGTGTTGGGGGGTGGTTGACCACTCTCACGAGGACCATTGTTGCTGGTAGCAAGATGTAGCACGTACTACCATGCAAAAGCTACGGAGCAGGAAGCTGTCACATGATGTCAAGAGCGGGGCTGATTTTTAACCCCACCACCCCACTCTCACAGAAATGAGCCCGGGAGAGTCCGAGAGTCACTACCCCCCCCCCAAAGGCGCATTGTTAGGGGGTGGGGATGAAGGAACATGCAAGGGCAAGACTTTGGTCCCCATGTTCCAGTTCTTAGGATGTGTCGACCAAGATAAAGACCGTATGCCTGTGTGCAAGTATAAATTAGTATAAATATTTACCTACACACATATATAAATAAACATACAGACATATACATAGTTCATCACCTTGTCATTTATGACAAGGTTTCGTATGCAGGTACCGTTAAGTCTTGGATATGGGGGGTGTAAGAACAGTCGTTATTCTAAACCCGAAACCCTAAACCTTAAACCCCAAACCCTATCCCTCCTCACAGGAGACACAAGGTTCGGACGGGCAAGATCCAAAACCGAAGGTCACACCCAAACAAGGAAAGCATTTCGACCAATGTAGGCGCCTGAATAATCAAAGTTCCTGGAAGCGTTCCCTAACAAAGGATTTAGAGTCTAGGGGATAGGGGCCCTAATAACTAGGATAGGGTTTGCGGTTTAGGGTTTCGGGTTTAGGGTATGGTAGATCCCAAAATTATCGCAAGGAGCTATCAGGCCTAACTCCTAACATGATCCCTTGTCCTGACCCCAATATTGAATGACCTGTCCGAAGTATAGCCTACTGGACTTAAATTGTGCTTTGGTGCTTTGAAGATAACTCGAATTTGCGAGGCGCGTATGTCACAGTACACCGGCACAAGACACCCTCAAAGCACGGGAAAGACCCGTCAATATGCGGAAGTTGTTGGCATCAGCATGTGCAAAGCCTATGTAACCTGCTCGCAGGCTGTACTACCTCAAAGCCGCTGACAACTGGGATTTGTGGCATAAAAATATTCTAAGGTATTAGTGTCACAAGCTACTGTTAACCACTATTACTAGATTGGTGATTAGATATGCTTGCTGAATTTATTCATTGTAAGTACTATTATGAGGCCACATAGCATCATGTAAATATTAGTCGTTGCGTCATTAACTGTCGATCACTACTAGTACGGTTATGAGCCCTCAGACATCTCAAGCATACTTGCACTTGACCAGGCCTCTTCTGCTGGCGCCGCCTCATCCGCGCCGGCACGTGCCACTGCCGCCTGCCGCACAAAAACGAACTTAGAGTTTAGGGCAAAGGTTCAGAGATTACGGTTGGGGTTTTATGAGCAAGAAGGGGGCCTGGATGATTCGAACAAGGGTTGAGCATATGATACCACAGCTGTATTCGGACATGAACAACTATTCAGGCTTTGATAGTAAAGGCTCCCCCCAGTGCCCCTTGACAGATACTTCTGCCGGCCATTCCTTCTTCACAGGGACACCAAAGCCACAAGAAACCTAGAAGGCTACTGCTTTTCCTACTGTTACTACTGAGCGCTCTAGCAAAGGGGCTGAAAGGTTCCGGTTTACATACCTCTGAAATCCTACACCCTACACCCGAAACCTCACACCCCAAACCCTAAAGCCTGCAAACCTTAACAACCTTCAATGCCCAACTCTAAACCCTAAGCCCCCGAGTCCCAGAATTCCGAACATGAAACTCTCAAAATCCAGACCGGGCTGAGCCCTCAAAACAAAAGAAGTACGTCCCGGATCACCCCTACGCCCATAGCCCTGAAACCCAAACACCCAATAAAATTCCCGAGCCCAAAAAAAAACCCATAGGTCCTAGACTTGACCCTAAAACATCCTTAACCCCAAACCCCAAAACCTTGAACCCCAAACCCCATAAACCCTACAACCCATGCATCCTTCCCCGCCCAAAGATCTGCCCCTGAGCAATCCGAACCTGAGCGGCTGTATCATGCACCGACTTGAGCAACCTTGGAAGCTGCCACGAACGGAGTCGAATATCGGACTTGTAGTTCAAGAAGGATTACGTACTTTAACGGTGAAACTAGGACTACTTGAGGGTTAAACTTGAAGAGTTGCGTAAAGGATTTGAAGGCTTTTGTCTGGTTTAATATATGCCTGAATGGTTAAATTAGTTGCAAAGGGGACCGCATTTTTAGTAAATGGGAACGATAAGTAATAATTCCAACCCCGATGCTCGGGGCTTCATAAGTAACTCATGGCGTTCTTGTAAGGTCCTCATACGGGTTCCCACAGGGCTACAAGGCTCATAGGGAGGGTTTCAGAAGGCTTTGATAGGGGCTTTGTAGGGGGGAAGCTTGAACTAAGTGTCTTTTGATTCCCTATAACCCTAAACCCTAAACCCCTAAACCCTAAACCCCTAAACCCTAAACCAGTATTATCGATCAAAAAGGCTAGGGTGCCCTCTGGCAGTTTAAGGACGTGGGTATGGGGTTTGGGGTCTTCGCTCCTGGCTCGCCCCCTTATAGTAAGGGTACCTTTTTCTTACAGATTTCATGGGGGGGAGCTCCTGACAAGGGTACCCTTTCTTTTTACTATCAGATTTAATGAGGGGGACTCTACAACAAAACGGGCAACAGGGTACAGGTCCCGGGGGGTTTTCACTTTATCATGAGGTTCCTGGGTTCTTGTTAATTAAGGGATTTAGTTTAAGTTACCGTAATAGGAATCTAAAGGAAATAACCTGGTTTCCTTGTTATGGTAACTTCAGTTAAATCCCCTAACAAGACCTCGGCCCGAAGCCCCGAGAAACTCTAGGGCCCCAAAAAGCACATAAGCAAAAAGTAGGATAGGCATATCCCATATAAATCCCCTCAAAAGGAAGCCCAATAGGGTAGGGATATCCCGGTAAAATGCCGAATCTTATGTGCTTTTGGGTCCCTAAAAACTCGGCAAGCGCATCCTAGCAGCGATGTGACCACTTCCGGAGCGGGGCCACCTTCAGCCACCTGCTCACGGCTACTGTAGGAGCCTTAATGAATAGAAAGGGGTTCCTTTAAGGGGCTCCTTGAGGAGTTCTATAAGCGATCTATAGTAGGGTTCTATGGTATGGGGGCCTTCATAATTAGAATATGAAACTTGGGTTACCTTATGCTATAGTTGTAGTAAGGAAACCCCACAATAGTATTGGCAAGTATTTAGGCTCCTACATTACGGTTTAGCGTTAGACCCTGAATGCAATTTCATCTATTTCCAGAACTCTACGCCCTCTCGAACCCACAACTCTACGATCTCGAAACTGCTCGCAAAATATCCATCAATCCATTGGAGTTCGGAGCCGCAAATGGTTGTTTTTTGGTTTGGGGTTTGGGGCCTAAGTATCTTACTCAGTGTATAATGCATGGAGTAAGATAGGCCCAAAACCCTTTTGCATCCAGGCCTATTGCGAGGGCCTAGACCTAGACCCAAAAAATCACCCAGGGGCCGTTATACGATCGCATGATTACAAGGGTCGACGCGAAGAGGAGACTAAACCATCTCTCTCTCTCTCTCTCTCTCGCTCTCGCTCTCGCTCTCTCTCTCTCTCTCTCTCTCTCTCTCTCTCGCAGGTGCTCGGAGCATCAGACCTGATGGAAGGGCTGCGCTTGCGGGCCACCGTGACACAACAGTCGGAACACGCAGCCTAACCCCTAAACCCCTTAACCCCAAAACCTGCCCCCCATGAAAAAAATGCGGCTCCAGGGTTAGGTAGTTCTGCCAGCATCAGTAGGCGGCCGAGGCACTTCGCTGTGGCTGTCGGCTGACTTTGGCGCAGCCTTGCATGAGTCTCTCACTGCTTGTCGGTTTAGGGTCTTAGTCTTAGTCTTGGAAACCCTTCTGCACAGACTTGTATATGCCCGCGTGGATTCCAAGACTAAGCCCTTTGCCATCAATCCTTCAAGCCCTAAATAGTTACTTGGAGGTTCATGGGTAGCTATAAGTCGGGTTATCAGTAAGGTAACTATACTTATAACCCATATTAGGGGACTTATAAGCCCCACTTATAACTCCCCAAGTAGGCCCTAGACCGCGATCAGGGTGGGGGCTTCGACTCTCACAGCTTGGGCAGCTTTTGGGGTTTGGGCATGGGGTCAGTCTCTGCGTCCATCGCTTGGCTGTTAGGGTTTGGGGCTTATAATTAGGGTTTAGGGCTTAGGGTTTCCGGTTTAGGGTTTAGGGTTTGCGGTTTCGGGTCTAGGGTTTAGGGCCTAGGGGCTGTTGGGTTCCTGTCCAAACTGTTCCGGAAGATCCTCGCGCTCGGCTTCTTGTAACCCCTCTTCTTCGCGACTGCCGGTCAGGACAGGACGAGATCCAGCAATCTTCATCCCCAAACCCTAAACACCAAGCTTGGCCCTACATCCCAAACCCAACATGGTTCAACCAGCCAAGGTGACTTCCATGATGGGCCTTTTAGGTGCTTTCATGGAAGCTGCTAGGGATGCAGGGGGGCGGTCTTTAGGGGTTAGAGTCTAGAGGTTTAGGGTTTAGGGTTTTGGGTTTAGGGGATTAGAGTCTAGGGGTTTTCGGTTTAGGGCCCTCGTGGTACGGTTACGGCATGGTACGACGCTTCTCGATATGTGCGCGCGTCGGTTTAGGGATTACCGTGTTGTTCCACGTGTATGTCCTGGTTGGAGCCCTAGAAGGTATCCCGAAACAGGACTACAGGTAGGGTTGGGGGGTTTGGGTTCACAGAATCGAGCCTTAGGTACCAAACTCAGCGGAGACTGGCTTCATTCAAAACGTTGTACAGAATGAAAAGAACGATTAGACTTCCATACGGATCCCTTGAAGCAGACGAGGCACCGCTGCGCTGTCGGATGATTCTGCCAGTCCTTCCGCCTGTAGCACAAAGCTGCATGAGGGTAAAACCGACGAAACCGGAACCTGGAAGCTTTCTGCAGAAACAGATGATGCCCTAAACCCTTCTGCATCCAGGCCTATTGCGACTGCCGGGTGCCCGAAACCCTTTTTGCATCAGGACTGGTGCAATCGCCTGAATACACGGACGGAAGGTCAGCGCTCCTGACTGCACATCCATACCCTGCTCAAGAAACTAGTAGACGACCTCAAAAAAGGAAACACGATCCTTAGCTAACTGCGCATGGTGCACTTGCCGAAACACCACCAAATAAGCATCAGCAGCCTAGTAGAAACCAGAAGCTGATAACACAGATGCCTCCCCAACATAGCCATATGTCCTAGAAAGGATTCCAAACACTCGCCGTTCAGTTCTTCCCCAAGATCATACTGCATAATGCCATCCTCTGTATCCAAGAAAAGAGCTTTGTAATTGCTGACACCCCTTGCACCCCGGAACTGCTAAACAGAAACCTTCAGAGGCATACATATACCTACGTACGCACGTACGTCTGCTGGGAATCCTCAGGAAGAAGCATTTCGGATCCTGTGGGCCTCCATGTCGCAAGGGCCGCAGAATCGGAAGATTGTAGCAGCTTTCACTGGCTGCAAATACCGGTTTTGCGCTTGTGGTTGAGAGTTTAGAATTTTGGGTTGAGGTTTTCGTGTTTGGTGCCGAAAGTTCTCTTCCGGGTCCGGTTTATAACGGTTCTACCAAGGATTCGTAAGGCTTGTCTTAAGGGCCCTACGGCTTTTGGAGCCTACACTGCGCCCCAAACCCTGCTGAGCCAGTCTGCAGAGCTGCGAAGGAGCGTGCGCACTATAGAGTCTGGATACTCTTTAAAGTCCCCATTATACTTGTACCCCATATATATATATACATACATATATATATATATATATATATACATATGTGTGCGTGTTACATATACATATACACATAAACATACACTTATGTACATGCACATATACATACATACATATGTATGTATATGTGTATATGTATGTCTACATATACATATACATGCTGGAAAGCTATGTCAAAGCTGAAGGCCCCCATGTTTTGCATGAATGCGCATGGGGCAACCAATGATAAGGACTCTTGTTGCTTGGCTTCTGGAAGCTGGAGCTTCCTGAGTTTAACCAGGAGTAGGAGTAGGAGTAGGCCCAGAAGGCATTGTAGTAGCCGTCGTCGTCGTCGTAGTAGTAGTAGTAGTGGTAGTAGTAGTAGTTGTTGTAGTAGTAGGAGGAGGAGGAGGAGCAGCCGCAGAAGTGGCAGTAGTAGTAATGGACCAGAAGTCTCTTCAGTGCAAGATTCGCCTGTTCCCTACACGATATTCAGTTTCGGGATCTTTGAGTTGGGTAGCGGGTGCCAGAGCATGTAATGCCTATTCCATATCCTATTGCCAGCCGTAGGGCCGTAGGAAGTACTAATTACTGCTGTCAGTGCCCTAGCATGGTCTGCGGCAACCCTGATGCTGTAAGCCAAAAACTGGGTTGCGAACCCAGCACCGAATATCCCCCACTAGCATCTATCCTGTCATGACCGCTTTCGAACAAGCCTGGTTACAGAGTCGCCCCAGGAGCAAAAGTAGCTTCAATACCTGCGTAGAAACGAAACACAAATTGATCTTAGCGGGGCCAGGTGTGTACGTGTCTGTGTGCACATATATGCATGCATGCATGCATGATCATGCACGCCGGCGTGTATCGAAATGTTTAGTTGCCTGACAAGTCTGAGCGTCGCACTGACATTGGACCGGACCCCGGCCGCAGGCCAGGTTTACTGAGCCGCACTAAGAGGCTGCGGCAAGAGCGACTAGGGCTTAACAAGGCGCAAGGGGCTGAGGGTGTGGGGCCAGCCACATAGGCTTTCCCGCTACCCTCTTCGGTAGTTACGCACGCTTACGAACTAGGATGGTAATTTTTGATGGCTCCCAACAAAACCTTGTATCTGGGTCTGGGGGCCCCCCTGACATGACATACCCAGTGCCGCTCAAACCGTATAGTGACCTCAAGAAAGGAGCCTTGCAGCAAACTCACAAATCGATCAACACAGGGGTTAGGGTTTAATGTAGAGGGTTCCTTTACAGGGGTCTATAAGAGTTATAAATGAGGGTTCCTTTGAAGGGATCTTTGACAGTAGTTTTGACGATTCCTTTGAAGGGAAGCCTAGGGGAGCTGTAAGGGTTCAACAGGGTTTTGGTTGGGCACTGCTACAGTCCGTAGTCTGGGACATATTAAGTGCCCCATACAATCATAAACAGAAGCAGTATCCACGTCTGGAGCAGTAACCAAAGTTAAGGATTCAGGGTTTAGGACTTCGAGGCTAAAGGCTAAGGGTTTAGGGTTTAAGGTTTAGGGTTTAGGGTTTAGGATTTAGGGTTTAGGGTTCTTTGGGCTCTGGGTTTAATACTGGTTTTTGGAAGTCATATGCCCAGATTTTAAAGAAAACCCCCGGGCCCATAGGAACCTGATTAAGACACCCTGGGCCTTTACTAGGGGTCCTTCTATGAACCCTACTATGTTGGGGTCATAGGCTCAGGGCTTCTTAATCTGGTTCTCACATTACTGACGCTTAGTTTGAAGAGCCTCTCAAGACTGATACTACCAACGTTCCATGCCCCTCTTATGAATTTCGAAGAGGAAACAGCGGAAGTCGTTCCACAACAGGTTTTGGGGGGATTTGGCCACAATGAAGGGGCCTCGGTAGTCTGCTACGGTTCAGCACAGCGTACGCCTCTGACGCATATCAACGCCTTACTGTCCCCATTATGAGTCCCTTGTCAGGTCGGGAAAAAAGCATAGAGCAGTGCTCAGCATTACTATTGCCCTTCTTCTCAATTCCTATTATTCCTACCCGTTGCTACAGGCTGTGCTTCCTCTTGGGAAATTGCGTATCTCGAGGAATCAGCGACGCAAGTTCGAAGGTGTGCCTTGCAACGGGAAGGCTCAGGGGCAAATTTCGGTTCAGACCTCGCAGCATCCCCTACACCCATGAGCTTATAGACCCCCGACCGGCCCAAATGCACATCCTTTTGGATTCTTGCGTGGCGAGCGCTTCGCCTGGCGGAGCATATAATATGCAAGTTATCGAAGAGTTCGAGAACCTGGAGTAGAAAGTGTAGTACCGGGGGATAGCACACACACCAAGTTCATAGTGGCATAAACAGCTACAGGGAACTCCAGAAAGTTGGAATATGGTTTCATGGTAGGATACCCTATAATTTACCATAGAAGGGTTAGGATAATCATATTCCAACTTTCTGGCTTTTACCTTACTAGGACCAAAGAAAATGTCATGGTACTGTTCCATACCGTGGCAATAACAACAAGATCGATCTTGAGCTCTGAGCAAAACGGTTTAGGGTTTATGGGTTAGGGGTTTAGGGTTTAGGGGTTTAGGGGTTTAGGGTTTAGTGGTTTAGGGGTTTCGGCGCTCACACTCGGTTTAGGGGTTTAAGGGTTTAGGGGTTTAGGGGTTTAGGGTTTAGGGGTTTAGGGGTTTAGGGTTCAGGGTTTAGGTTTACAGCTCAAGGCTGGCGGCTTGGGGATGGAGGTTTAGGGAGTGGGATATCGGGATATTTAGCCGGCTGCTGTCGCATGGGAACCAACTCCCTTCAGGGACAAGGTCTGGGGTTTGGGATGAAGGAGTGAGGGGCAGTTTCGCGGCCTGCGTCGATGCGAAGACTACTGGATTGCAACTCGATTCTAAGACCACCCCCTGTGGGAGCACGACGGGCACCCCGGAACACACACGCTACTGACACGGGAGAACGAATTTGGGTGGTCGACACACACGTCGCACCTCAACAAATGCATGACACTGTACTTGGAGGTTATGGGTAGTTATAAGTTACAAGCATGGCTATAAGTCTCCTAGTATGAGTTATAAGTACAGTTGCCCTATTTCTGACTGCCTATGAACCTCCAAGTAGCGGGAGCCCGATGTCGGGGGTGTAAGCAAAAATGCGCACAGCACGGAAGCAAAGAGCCGCAAGGAGCTGATCTCGGTTCTTAGTAAGGGACTTAGGCTAGACCTAAGAGTAACCTAGGAATAAAAAGGGTGCCCTTTTTGGTTTAAAGGGGGTTAAAAGGGAACCTAAACCCGAAAAAAGGGAATACGGGCCTACTCTGGGTCCTAGTAGGGATTTAGGGTCTAGGGTTAAGGGATTTAACTTACCATAACTTGGGGTTCCACTAGGGGTTCTACAAGGGTTTAGAGGTAAAAGGATTTAGTTTAAGCTACAGAGGGAACCCACATTTACGATAGATCCCTAGTATGGTAACTTGAATTAGATTCCTGAACAAGAACCCAGGTGTGGCCCTGTCTGGACTCTGGCGATGTCCGGCCATTTCAAAGCCCTCATGAACATGATTTGCGCCGCAAACACACAAAACACACAGATGGCACGGCGACTCATGAAATTCCGTCCGAAATGCAAAGGTAATTGGAACCCGACAGTGTTACTTACGGCTTGCGACAATGTTCGGGGGGCAAAATCTGAAGCTTTTTCGACGACACGCGCGACACACTGTGTCAAACTTGATGAAGAGCACGCTCGATAGCATGACTCAGGCCTGTTAGTTTGATATTGGATCGCTTGAAATCGCCGACTGCGGCCTTAGCAGCAGCTATGCGTGATGCTGACACTTCACGGAGCCAAGCTCTCATCTCTTGCAGGTTCTGTCTTCCTTCCTTTTGCCTTAGCAAGACCAGTGTGGCCAGGTAAATTTCTGCAAATGCAAAGTCAGCTTTGAGGCCTGACTCCTTCATCCTCGAATACGCACCCATAACTTTATCGACTGGCGCTGCCTTGTAAGCTCCAATGAGACAGGTGTACAAGGCAATGTCCGGCTGGAGCTCCAGATCCAAGAGGAGGTCAAACAAGCAGTCTGCTGCGTTGTGAGTATTCCCGGAGGCTTCCCAACAAGCTCGTATGGCTGAGGTAATGTGGCCCACGTCGATCTCTACACCAGCCAGGTTCATGTCATCTAAAACTTGTGCTGCTGCCTGAATATCACCTTCCACTGCAGCAGCTTCAATACGAGCTGCTGCCAGTTGTTTATTGAGGTCGTACTTGCTCATGGCTTCTTGCCAAATACGCGCAACCCCGAATGGTTCACCCAGTTTCGCGTAAAGCTTCACTGCTGTAGCATACACTGTTTCGTCCTTCTCCATTTTCGAATCGCACAGACTTTGATAGACCCGGGCCCCTTCTTTATACTGACCACAAAGATATGCACCATGCATAACAGCATGGTAGACTGGAACCTCTGCGCCAGTGTAGTCTGCAAAGAGCCGTCGAATGTCAAACCAATTGCCTCGGCTACCTGCTTCGGCTATCCGTGATAAAACACGCTTGCTCGAAGCAGTCAACAAAAAGCTTGAGTTATCCACTTGAGTGTGCAGGCCTAAACCCACACGAGCGCGATTCTGGCTGAGAGGTGCTTGCTTCTGCAGGGCGAAATCCGGAGCGAGGCCGACTAACAGGGCCAAGGCAGCTAATGTGGAACCATGGCAGATGGAGTTGGGCCGCCTGGCCAAGTGCATCTCTGTC